CTGGAACACATCGCACAGACTGGACACGAGGTCAATTGCAAGACAAAAGAAAGAATGGCCTCATATGATGAAACACAAAGAAAACTGAAGATTGGATAGGCCATTGACATCCTTGAGGAAGGAAATGTCATGAACAGATGTGCGGAAGACAGAATTAGCGATAAGTTGTATATTGCCTAAGCAACCTACTATAGCAGAAGACTTCGTAAAAGGTGCACACAATTAAGTCGAAAGGAGACTTTGTATGCATATCAATAGTGATCAGGTTAGAACTAATCACCAAAATATAAAAAATTAAATAAAACCAATTTAAGATATTTAATGGATAAGCGGAGGGAGTGATGTCCATGCATAATAGTTATATTAGAATATAATGAAAAAATAGTGGAAAGAATTCATAATTAATTGAACCATATGCATTGCTTACGATCAGCACCATCTGGAGTAGCTAAATTATAGTCTTGAGGACGAGGCATGTCATTGCCGAATTCTGGGACCGAAAAACAATGAATGTCATGTCGCCTTTGCCCAAGACCGCTGCCTTCCGACCGTCGGGTGAAAAGAGGCTTGTAATCAGAAGTCCCTTCACCTCCATGAAGACGATCAGCAGAAGCGAATGACCGGCAAGTGGAAACGGATGGCTCGGGACAGACCAGAGTAGCTCTGGAATTAGTGGTGGAAGAAGGCGCAAGACAAGGCGTGGTTGGACTAGAAGTGGGGTCGAGGCCAACTGCTTCGGCTCCAAGGGTTGGCAGGCCTGGTGAGACACCTGTGAGACACTTAGCTATAACGGAGGGGGACAATTTATTTATTAAGTCAGAAGAAACAGTTGTTTGTTTGCATATCAGAGTATGTATGAATCCTGATCAGCCATTATAAAGCGGGCTATATGCCCAGTAGACCATGGAGGATCATAAGCGCCATCTTTCAAAAATTAATTCAGACAAGAAAGATCGGTTTTGAACATTTAAGTTAAATGAGAGAATATATCCTTTGAAGGAACAAGGAACATATTGAATATTGTGAGGTAGAACAACCTAATACAGAACTAGCAGTTGAGTATTAACATAATGATATGAGTGGTCTTCAAGTGGCATTGCTTCCCAAAAGGTATCCTCGTCCGGGGAGGACTGTAGTTTCTAGATAGCCCAAGGTCTGATCAGCACCCTTGGTGGGACTTAAAACCGTGTATAGTTTTAACATGCTGCGACTATTCCACACTTTTCTTATTCAAGATTTACTGGTGGTTTAAAAAACGACTTAATCTAAGTACAAACTAATACAGTAGCCATTTAAGAAGAGGCATTTGACAAAAAGCATCTTCAGAGACTGTGCAACGTCTAATCACTACACAGGTTGAGGTGACGCAGAAACTAATTACCAAAACAGCACTTTTTTCCTATCGACCTACCATATCTAATCAATTAAGATCGCAATAGCTTTTACTGCCAGATTTCATCTCCTACACAAGGACTAACCGTGAGCCACCTTAATCTACATGCTGATGCCTAACCCATGCAGTCTTAGAGTCGACCAAGTAGCTTCCCGCAACTTAAGCCTGAACCTACCTTCTGAGCTGCCACCCTCCATCTCCACAACCAAAATGAAGTCATCCGCTTAATGTCGACTTTCATAACCCTAAACGTATCTAGTACAAAGAGATCGGGACAAAAGTCAACGCTCCGCTTCTCCACACTCCTATAGCAAAGTCTAGCCTGAAATACTCAGACATAGAGAATCCCGACACTGAGTTATTTGACCAACTAGGAGGCTAACGATAATGTCGTACCCTTTAGAGGCCTATCCTACTTGGTCTGGCGTTATCGTCACTTGTTGGCTCAGCAAACAAGTAATACTTGCCTTTTCTTCAAGAGTCATCAGTAAACTCAAACAATCCCTAATCTTTCATCACTTTAAACAAAATAGGGTGAATACATCTCATAATCCCTAATCGACTCTGCCATTGAGATAATTTTGTACACTTGTTCTATATATATTTTACAACCACAATGGCTTCCAACTACGGACTTCTTATTCAGTTTAGGCTCCATATAGCCCGTCAGGAAGCAGGTTAGTTTGGAATACAACAATCAAATAAGAAAAAGAGGATGATTCAGAAATACAACAGAATTTCATGAAAGTAATTAGCAGACAAGGTAGAAAAGAGAAGCATGATAAAAATGAAAGTTTAATTTCGCATCTAGTATGAACCTGATGGTTATAGAGAATTACAAATCGTAAAAACCTTTGGTAAAACACCAAAAGCAATCTTGAGCAGAGCTACTAGCGGAAAAATAGAAAAAAAAAGATATAAAAATATAGAGAATAACTGGATTTTAAAGAATTCATTACTGATATATTGTGACATGGCTTTCCATTTAGAAGAAAAAGTTGGTTGGAAGGAATTCCTAATGTGTTCTCACC